TGAACAAGAGAGACCCTGGCTCAAGAAGGTGGGAGGCAAGGATTGGCACCCATGGCTGCCCTCTGACTACCACAGATGTGCTGCGGCATGCATGTGCCACACACACACACACACACACACACACACACACACACACACACACACAGTGAGAGGAGAGAGAGAGAGAAACAAGAAGGAACTGTGATATTTACATACAGGTGGACTATTATTATTATTCAGCTACAAAAAGAACTTTATCACATGCTACCATAGGCAAGCCTTGAAAACATTGTATCTAATGAAGTAAGTCAGACACAGAACAAAAAAACGGCAGGTTCTATTTACGTGAGGCATCTAAAATAGTGACACTCAAACCGAAACTAGATGGTGGTTTCCAGGGCTCCAGGAGCTGCTGTCAGTGGGTACGAAGTTTCAGTCACAAACATCTCCCCGCGCCCCCCCCCCTCTCTCTCACACACACACACACAGGCATGCACACACACACACAGGCATGCATACACACCTTTAGTTTTTTTGGTTTTTCGAGACAAGATTTCTCTATGTAGCCCTGACAGTCCTGGAACTTTCTCTAGAGATTAGGCTGTCCTTGAACTCAAAGATGCACCTGCCTCTGTCTCCCAAATGCTGGGATTAAAGGTGTGTGCCACCACTGCCTGAAATATTTTAATTTTTTTAAAAAGTTCTGTTTAGTGCGTGCGTGCATGCGTGCGTGCGTGCGTGTGTGTGTGTGTGTGTGTGTGTGCCTGTGTGTGCCTGTGTGTGTGTGCGTGTGCGTGTGCGTGTGCGTGTGCGTGTGCGTGTGTGTGTGTGTGTGTGTGTGTATGGGGGGCATGCACAGGAGAAAGTCAGAAGACAACTTTCAGGGGTTGAACAGCTTTACAGTCATCCTTCCTCCCAATGAGGGTTTTATAAACTAAACCCAGGTTATCAGACTTTCACATAAAGTGTTTTTATCCACTAACTCATCCTACAGTAACCTTATTTCATTTTCTTCCTCATATTTTTTCTTTATTTTATTTTAGTTGATTTATTTTGTGACATCTCACTATGTAGCCCTGGTTGGCCTGAAACTCTCTATGAAGACCAGGCTAGCCTCAAACCCATAAAAATCTGCCCATCCCTCCTAGGGCTAAGATTAAAGGCATGGGCCACTGTGACGGAGTGAGTGAGGGTGTCCCCATAGCCTCCACCATCTGAGTGCTTGCTCCCGGTTGGTGATGCTGTCTGGGGAGCCTGTGAGGAATTCTGCAGGAGGAGTGCATCACTGGAGGCAGGCTTTGAGGGCTTACGGTCCCACTCAACCTCCAGTGCCCGGGATTTCATGCTTGCAGTTAGAGACCACTCAGCTTCCTGCACCTGCCTCCACACCTGCTGTCACTGTTTGCTTCCCACCACACTGAACTCTGATCCCCCAGAACCATAACCCAAGGTAAACTCTTCCTTCCATAAGTTGCTTTTGATCATGGCGTTTTACCACAGCAACAGAATGTAGCTAACACAGTCACCATGCTAGGTTCCTTTTAAACAAACAAACAAAAAATCTGAGGCTGGCATGGTGGTGCACACCCTTAATCACAGCATTTGGGAGGCAGACGCAGGTGGGTCTCTGTGAGTTTGAGGCCAAACTGGTCTACAGAGTGAGCTCCAGGACAACCAGGGCTACACAGAGAAATCCTGTCTCAGAAAAAAAAAATCTGGTGTGTATGATGTATGTGTGTGCATGTATGTAAGCATGCTCATGCTGTGCTGTGACGTGGGTGCAGAAGTCGGAGGACAACTTGGGTGTTAGTCTCTGCTTTCCACCTTGCATCTCTTGTTCCTCTCAGCATATGCCAGGATTCTCTTGTCTGCACCTCCCATCATGCTGTATGAGCCCTGGGATTAGAGACCATGCTTGCCTCCTGCTTCCTGTAAGTTCTAGAATCTGAACTCAGACCCTCCTATTTGCCTGGTGAGCACTTTCCCCACAGATCTCTTCCCTGATTCCTTCCTCTTCTTACTTCTCCTTAAAAAAAAGTATCTATGTCATATGTGTAAGAGTGCATGCACGCCAGGCGGTGGTGGCGCACGCCTTTAATCCCAGCACTCGGGAGGCAGAGCCAGGCAGATCTCTGTGAGTTCGAGGCCAGCCTGGGCTACCAAGTGAGTT